TTCAATATTATATGGAGCGGCTATTTTACGATAATCAAAGAGAGCATAAGCCGCATCATTAGGCATTTCCGGTCAACGAATAATTCCTCGTAAATTTTCCGTAAAGTCTCCGTATTTTGGTTGAGCCATAGAAGTTAAATGTTTTCGGCGAATAAAATTATAAAGGTCAGTTTTTACTAATCAAATAATACTTTCCTCATTTTTAGAATTGGCTAATACTTCGGCTTTATTATTTTTTTCGGAAGGATTAAGCAAAAAGTCAATATTATCTAATAATCCTTCAACTATTTTGTCACTAACATTTAATTTACCATCATTCCACTTTGTTGGGTCAAAAAGTTCTTTTTTCTCAGCTTTTTTTACTGCGTCTTCATGGTGATTATTGGGATTAGTTATTTCGGCGACCATTTCTTTATCCAATATATTAGAAAACTTGGCAAACATTCCTTCGGTAATTCCTTCGGTAAATTCTTTTACGCGGTCAAGAGATAAAGACATTATTTCTTCATTGATAACATCGCGAAAAACTTTCACTTTGTCTAATTTAACTATTTGTTGAACGGCGGTGCTAGGACTAATTTCATTAGGTAAAATTCCTCGCTTGTCTTCTGTTTCAGGCTCATTAGTTATATTAGCAATATAATAAGCCTTGCCGCCCTCAATACGCGGTCGCGGTATTAAATCTAAAAATTTACTACTGTATTCAATAATTTGTAAGGCTCGCATTTGAACCGTTCTTTGTTCTAATTCTAATATATTTTTACTTTTATCTGTTGGCATAATGTTTATATTATTTATTTTTAGCAATTATTATCAAAGTGATTAGCAATTGAATGATAGCAATTACTGTATTAATTACAATGCTTCACACTACTAATTCTTCCTTTCAGTTTTTTAATTGGCGATTACTTTGTTTTATTTTTTTTTTGCTTTCTTCTTTTAAATTATTAAGAGGTTGGTCATTCATTTATCTAACTTTCCCCTTAGGGTGTTTTTCCATATATTTAACTGTATTTTCCCATGGCTCTTGCTTTTCTACACGATAATTATCATCATCTTGTAATAAAGAAATAAAAGCACTAGTTTTTTTTTGATAGGCTTTTTGTTTTAGTTCTCTTAATAGTTCTTCGGTGATTTTTCCTTTACCTAATAAACGAATATTTTCAAATTCTCCAATAGAAAAGCCATGTTTTCTTAATAATCCTTTTTCTCCTTCTTCTTCAAGGACTTGACGAATTTCGGCAGTTTCTTTATTTTTTTCTTCAAGTTTTAGAAGAACTTCCTCAGTTTCTTTACTTTTGCTGGCTAACGCTTCTTTTAAAGCATCAGTTTCATTATTACCTTTATTTTTGTTTATCTCTTTTTGGCTATTAAAATTATTATTTATTTTATCTTTGTTCATAATAATTATTTTTGCCCACGAACGAAATCCGACATATATTAAAATATCTCTAAATCGGGATGGCAAATCTTACATTTATCCCAAACACAAGGACGCATGTTGGCACTCTTATAAGTGTAACTTTCCCCATTCTCACGTTGGCCAGTTCTTTCTTCTAAAAAGCCTTTTCAGTGTTGGCCCTCAATGGTGGTATTTAAGATTTGGTGGCCGGATTGGGTTTCTTTGAGTTCGATTCAAAAAGGATTAAGCATAACATTATTTATTTTTAGAGCATTCAAAACAAATTCTATTCTTTTGCTCTAATTCTTCTATTTTTTTGTTTTGTGCTTCTACTTTTTTTTCTAAGGTTATTTGTTTTTCTTTTATTTTTATGTTATAATCAGCAAAAATGGCTAAAATAACCACATTAAATATAGAAAGGGTAATTACATAAGGCAAACAAGAGTTCATAAAATTTAATTATGCTCTGTTCTAATTGTGGAGAAAAAATTCCCAAGGGGGAAGAAGTTGCGGAAGGCATTGAATACGGCAGTGGAGGAAAAATCATCTGCCGAAATTGCTGAAAAAATCGTAAGAACAGAGTAAAAATTACTTGAATAATTATCTTTTCTTTATCAATTTTAGTAGGTTTGGGACTGCTTATTTATTTTTTTATTAAAAAGAGTTAATTATTCTTCTAATTTTTGTTTGACTAATTGGCAATTAGTAAATATTTCATATTTGACACCACTTTTCAATATTTTATTAATAAAATTTATTTCTTCTTCGTTTAATTCTTTTGGAAATTCTAAGACATAAGGTTTTACTTGCCGGGCTTGAAGTTTCATTTTTATCTCGTATTTATAACGCATATATATGCTTCTCATTTTTGAACCACCTATTACTATTAGCAAGGTCTTTTTAGTTATATTCATTAGTATAAGTTATTTTTTGTTTTTTTTTTTTTTTTTTTGACATTAAAGAGAATGACATTAAAGAGAATAGTTGTAAAATATAATATATGAAAGAAATACTAATAATTAGTTTGATTAGTTTATTTTTATTAAGCATTTATTTGCTATTAAGATTAATCAACAGCGAAAAAAAACAAAAAATAATCCGAATTAAATTCAAAGAAAAGATAAAAGAGTTTGAATGAATTAATGATTACTGTTTAAGTTTAGATAATGATGACATCCTCGCCCAATTTATAAAAAGAAAATTAATTTGTCATTATGAAAGTCTTTTACAGTTGGAGCGAGAACTAGAAAGCAATAGCTTTAATTCCAACCAAATTCAATATGAAAGGAAAAAGGGAAATTATGGCAAATAACTTTCTTAATAATAATTTTAACTATCAGCAACTAAAAACTTCCAAAATTTATGACCATTGCTGACTAGGTAACGAATTATATTGAATTTATAAATGCTTTTGTTGCGGCGAAAGAGAATTAAAGAAAGGCGGCAAACGTGAGTAAATTCTTTTTAGGAACTAATTATCTTTTATTTGAAATAGAAAAAAAAGAATGTTTAATTTGTAGAAAAGGCAATATTCCCATTCTCCGAATACAAAAGATTAATCTTTGTCAAGCCTGTATTATTAATGCTTTTAAAAGATATACAATAAATAACCAAGAGAAAGGAACAAAAGAATAGCATGGCGGGCATTAACTTTGATGATTTGGTGAATCAATACAATTATTATAAATACCGATTGTTTAACTATTTGGAAAATCCCAAAGAAAGAAATTTGTTTGATGCTGCATTTCAGACTTGGGAAGACTTAAAAGATACAGTAGAAAGTGCTGAACCCAGTTTAGTAGAAAATGTTAACAATCATTTAGGAACTGATTTATGACACATAATAGATGATCCACCGGAATTTGAAGAAGAACCGAGCGAAGGAGGACCGCCGGGTGAAGGAGATGAAAGCGGAGAAGAAATTCCGCCTTCTTCGCCGGATGAAATTATCAAAGACAAAAAAATTGAACGATATAAGAAAAAACTTGAACGGCTTAGAAAAAAACATGAAAAAAGGGCAGAGAAAGCAGTTGAACGATATAAGAAAAAACTTGAACGAGAAAAGAAAAGGGCAGAGAAAGCAGTTGAACGATATAAGAAAAAACTTGAACGGCTTAGAAAACTTAAATACAAAAGACCAGAATTAAAATATTTAAAGAAATTAATCGGAAGCAAAAAAACTCCTTTTGAGATAAAAGGATTAGCACAAGTCAAAATAAAAACAGTAAAAAGTGAAATTCAGCAACGCCAAATTGCTCTTTTAAAAAAAACTAAAAAAAGATTATTGTTTCGTGCTAGAAAATCATCAGAATTTAAGTTACCTTATCAAGAACGCAAATCAATAGGAAGAGGCGGTTATAAATATAAAAATGTAGAGGTTAAACACTTAAAAAGAGAAGCCAAAGCACTTTATCGCACTTTAAGCAAAATAAAAAATAAAATATCATCGCCATCAATTCGGCACTATCAGCCACCAAAAACCACTAAACCAGTCAAATCATATATGTATACCCTAGAAGGAGAAAGAGAGGGGGGCAAATATATTCCTCCATCTAAACGAACAAAATATTTAAAAAATTATGAAGAGGGACAAAACTATATTATTACCCGAATTCCACCTAAGGAGTATCAAAGAAAGAAAGAAGCCTATGAAGAAAGATTTTATGATATGTATGAAGATAGCATTTTACGCGGTAAAAAGGGAGCATTAAAGGGCGGCGGAAGACCAAAAACATATAAAACCCCGGCCGAAAAACAACGAGCTTACCGACGAAGGAAAAAACAAAAATAATGATAAACACTCGCAAAATTACTTGTCGAATAATCGACATAACTAAAAAAGCTGACAAAAACGACAATAATTATTTAATTTTAGAAGAGGGCAAAGGTGGCTTAAATATTTTAAATAGTTTTGAAGTTAGAAAGAGAGGGCAAGCATAATTTTTATTATTGACTTAATAAAATTATTTATATAACAGTATGAAAATTAATTTGTCACAATTATCAGAAGAAAGGAAAAAAATATAATGCCAGCCCAAGAAGTTTTTTTTAATCAATCCTTAAATATTAACTCGGTTGACCTGCAAAATGCCGGACAATCTAAAATAAAAAAACTTTTTGAAGAACTTGAAGAAGATAAAAAAGAAGTCAAAAACAAAAAATATTTAGCCGC